AACATTGTTGTTCAGTGTCTCATTACATTGAGCGTAACAGTTGAACTTTTCCTGAGTTTCAATTTCTAACAACTCCATGTTATTACCGTAACGTCTTTTAAGTTAACTTATAAGAGTTATGGAAGTGCAATGGAATCTACACTTAATCCATCAAGTTCAGTACGTGATTGCTTTGAATCTCCAGTTCAGTTTCAATTTATGGTCTGTCAATTGCATTCTTCAACTTCACTACTCATATCGTAAGTTCCATTCAAACCCACAATATGATGATTTTAACATGAAATCAATAGCTTGCGAGTACCAATTCAAAATATAATGTCCTATTTTAATGAATAACATGTTTCCTCTACTTCTTCTTTTTCTTTTGTCTCTGACCCTATTGTCGCCAACTTCTCCTCCTGTTCCTTTTTTCACTTTTGGAGTTCCTCCTCCATCTGCTCTTGTTTGGCCTTTTGGTCCTCCATCAAGGCCAATATCTTTGTCTGCTTAATAAGTTCTTTTTCTCCATCTTCTTTTTTTTCTCTCTTAGGATAGCGGCAACTTTCTCTTCTTGCTCTCTGGTGTACGGGGTGGTGCTCGCTCTTGAACGAAGGGTCACCATGGTGAAAGGTGTACAACCCTGTGGCGTTTCCACTCCTCACCACTTAGACTTCCACCCTAGCAACTGACTGACTAACTCTTTAAAGGACCACGAGGACTTCCCATTCGTTCCAGCCAGGTTACCACAGTCGACGGAAGCTTTCGCGACCACAGTCCAGTCTTTCCACAACCTAGATGCCCTGCACTTGCGGTCAAACCCACTCGACTTTCACTCCGGTTCAGATCCTTAACAACTAGGGTCACTAGCCTTGACCTACTCTAAGGTTGTCACTACAGAGCTCAACTGCTGATCAGGAGGCATTTAAGGAGATCCCCCATAACTCCTCAAGAATTCTTTAACGTCGCAGTCAGGACGACGCGATCAGCAGAGCTCTCTCAACACTAAGACAGCGGGTTGTGCAGCCCACAGCTTGGATTTTGGGCCTACCATGCCACACTAGGCAGCCCGCCGGTCTGTACYGGTCCTTGGGAGGGTTTGTCCTCCAAGTCAGTCATTGGTCTGACATGGACCTAGTGCCCTATTCAGCCCGTATGGGTTTGGTCAACACAGCTCTATGACCACATTCACGGAGTTCCTATCACTTGGATAGAACAGACTCAATGCAGAAAGAAGAGACAGATAAACTCAGCAAGTACCATGAGGTGAGTGCACATCCATTGGGCGAGGGGAGAGGCTATAGGCTTGGCGAGAGTATCCGTAACTCCAGCTTGGTCAAATTCGTGGTCAACAGCTCCGGTCAATGTTGGTCAACGCTTTGTCAACTCGACGGTCAAAACCTTGGTCAACGCCAATCAACTCCCCGGTCAACTCCTTGGCCAAAGTCTTGCTCAACGTTGGTCAACCCCTCGGTCAACGCCTTGGTCAACGCACAACTCGGCTATGACGGCCGACCTCTTCTCTCCCACCAACCTCCATTTTCTTCCTCCCTTCTCCTTCCTCCTTCTTCACCCTTGGCTATGGCTTCTTTCTTCTTCATTTACTCTGTGTCCGAGCTCGGCAGCTAAGGCCACTTTCTTCTTGTATCGCTCCTCTCTTTCTCTCTCTCTCTCTCTCTCTCTCTCTCTCTCTCTCTCTCTCTCTCTCTCTCNAGAGAGAGAGAGAGAGAGAGAGAGAGAGAGAGAGAGAGAGAGAGAGAGAGAGAGCTGCCACGTGGAGATCTGGCACGTGGCCATCTGCCACGTGGCAATCCGAGGACACGTCCGCAGGGCCGCGACTGGAGGGCGGACACCAGCGACGGCGGACGAGGACAAGGCCGCGGACGGACGGCAGCCATTACAGGTTAGTTCTTCTTCCTCTTCTTCTTCTTCTTCTTCTTCTTCTTCTTCTTCTTCTTCTTGTTTGGAATGCTTCGTTCCTTTTATTGTTATTCTTCTACTTCTTCTTTGTCTTCTTCCACATCTTCTTCTTCTTCTTCTTTTTTCCCTCGTTTCTTTCTTCTTCTTCTTATTCTTACTCTTATTCTTCTTCTGCTTCTGCGTTGTTTTTCCCTCCTTTTCTTTCTTCTTCTTCTTCGTCTTCTACTTCCTCTTCTTTTTCTTGTGTGTGTGTGTGTGTGTGTGTGTGTGTGTGTGTGTGTGTGTGTGTGCCCGTTTCGTTTTGGACATGAGAAATGTGCGCGCGCACACACACACACACACACACACACACACACACAGAGAGTGTGAGAGAGTATCACTTTATCTCTCTCTCTGGCTCTCTCTCTCAGGCTCTCTCTCTCAGGCTCTCTCCCTCCCCCCCTCTTGTTTCTCTCTCGCTCTCTCTTCTCTCTCTCTCTCTCTCTCTCTCTCTCTCTCTCTCTCTCTCTCTCTCTCTCTCTCTCTCTCTCTCTCTCTCTCTCTCTCTCTCTCGTCGCTGTCTCTTTGCAGGTACGCGGCACCTTCCTTTAGCGGCGCAGCTATGGCGGACCCTTCTTCTTCGATGGCGCACTTTTGCTATGGTGCCCATCTGGCGCGCGCCTCCTTCCTGTTGACAACGGCGATAGTGCATGGAGTAGCGGGAACCTGCTCCAATACCAATGCAATCAAACTCGTTTTCTTCTCACTTCGCATGCATGCAAACGGATGGCAGTCCAAGCTGCCGCCAGGCGCCCACGCAAAACTCGGAGATATTCAAGTCGAAAACACAGTTCGGATACAAACTCGCTTCAGATTGGCTATGACGCCTGAGCGCCTACACATCTCCCTCTCTACGCTGTATTCACATCACGGTTCACACACACACCACACTAGATCTCCCTGGATATCCCACACACACAGACACAACTCACTCACTCACACGCTGTAGACTAGGCTATGGTGGCAATGGCTGTCGACTAACTCTCGCTACTAGCAGCGACGGCTGCTCTGTCTCCCTCGTAGCCCACTTCAACTTCGGGCATCTGCAGACCACCTTGGACAAGACGCCTGGGCAGCGATTCCGCATGGCTCACGCAAAATGAATGAATGGCTGGACGCTGCTTCTTGATTTATACTTCTGTTGGTCGCTGGTCTGCCCCTTTTCCACCGGCCCATTGTGCACACAGTCCCACATGGTACTTGCTGACTGGACAAGGTGAGACTGGGACTGGGTACCGCTGACAAAGCAAAGTTGGACTACCCACTTGCCCACTTGCCTCTGGCCTAACGTGAGCAACACTCTAAAGGCCACTTCCAGACCTTCTGGAAGTCTATAGACTTGGCCTTTCGGAGCTGTAGCAGCTACGACCTTGACCTTTCCGGACTGTAGCAGCTACGACCTTGACCTTTCAGAGTTGCAACAGCTATGACCTTTACACAACTATGACCCCTACTTCACAGACATAAGGTTCAAGACCCGACACCTACACAGACCTATGACAGACAGCAGTCAACTATCAAAACACAGGTCACGGGTTCAAAACGCACAAGGGTCGACTTGATACTGTACACGGGTGAGGTAAGGTCTAGGGATCGAGCCCTAGGATCCGCATCTGTTACTGCGAAGGTGAAAACCGTTTCACAAGTACACACAGACATGGTCGACCTTAAACCCTTCAGAATACAACAACAATGAAATGGATGTTTCATCAGTCTGAAGATTACAATTACAAAAATATTGCAATGCAATCTGGACCTCTGTGCAGTCAAACCCCCAAGTTCTCAGATACTTCTGTACTGAAGGGACGCTGGACCCGCTCTCCAGAAGGTTCACCTCCCCACCAATAGATTGGAGCATTCCGAAAGGCTGCTAGGTAGGGCTGCTCTTATCACCCTTCCTAGCACCTGTCCTGGTTTGTTTGTTTGTTTGTTTGTTTTTATTTCAAAAAATCCCACCTAGGGCCCCACTCCACAGCACAAAAAATATGACCGTGTATGATTGTGCATCTCTCCATGTTCTACGGGACGATTCAGTCTCATTTTGCACATTTGGTGACTAGTGCAGGGGGACCCATAAGTGGCATCAGCCGTGGGGTGACGTCCATGGTCTGCTGCGTGCCGAAAACCGGTGTGAAAATGCGCATGGGCCATTTGATGGGGCCCCGCCCAGAACCGGTTTGCTCACAGCGCGCCGGGTAACGTGGTGACTGGCGCGCACGGAAGCGTCGATCGAGGGAATATCTCGCAAGAGAAACCAGCCGATAGCGGCCGGCTATCGTTTTGCTCCGTCTTTTTTTTTTTTTTTTTTTCATTTCCCGCCGGTGCAAGGAAGATGAGCGATAGCGAACTTCAGAAATCAAACACCATCATACACATGAGACCAGATAGTCGTGACCTCGAACCAAAAGCAAAATTGCATCACGAGTTTCACCAAATAAGAACACAGCAGAAGTTCATAATTGACAATGCTGGAATAGTCTCATCATCATCAACAAAGAACCAATGTCGATATCCTATCTAGCGCTCGGCACCCAGACTACGAATGGAAGATCCTATCTGGCCTAGACTACAATGCCGCTGATGACATCAACAGCTCCCTGAAGTACGAGCAGATCTTGGACAATGCCGCACGCTTCAAGCACCAGGTATGTCTCCCGTATCACTCACAACCTCATTCCCCAACTCACCGATGCCACATGCACCCAAGGACCACCATGGGCCCCATCCAGCGTACAGCAGCGCAGCTCGGCTATGGCTGCCTGCTCCTTCCAGCTCGCCTGTGAGCGTGTGAGCCTGGCAGGCGATAGCGCAGCACTAGCAGCAGCGCTTGTGCACAAAGCTTCCAGTGCCCAAATGTCCAATGCGGAGGCAGGCCCTTCCCTATATCGAAGTGGCCTGCTGCTGCGTGCAGTCGTGAGGTACTAGGCCCTGGCCCAGAAGCTTCCGGTAGGCCCCACTGGGCTGAGCCTCCATCTGAGGAAAACAGGCCCAGGGCCTATGGTGGTTACTAGTGCCCAACCACCTGCAGCCTGAGTTGGGTCCATGCTGCGAATCTCGCCCAGGGCCTGACTCAGATCCATTTGTTAAAGAGGTCCAGGGCCTGGGTACGTCCAACCAACTGGCGCTGCGCAACTGCCTGAATTTTCCCCAGTTGCGAAGTAGTCCAAAGTAGGCCTCTTGGGGTCGGTCGAGCCTGCCTTCACTNCGCTGCGCAACTGCCTGAATTTTCCCCAGTTGCGAAGTAGTCCAAAGTAGGCCTCTTGGGGTCGGTCGAGCCTGCCTTCACTTAGGGCGGCCGACACTGTTGCAAATAGGGGCCCTGTAGGGCTTATCGAGGCCTTGTCCCTCGCATTTCCTCCTCCAGAAACCATACTTCGCTAGTCCTCTGAGAAGTTCAGTCTTCGATAATCTGGCATTTTCCCTTCTGCAGAGACTTCTCGTAGTGAGCGACTACCTGTGGAGCGGTCTGCATCAGTTCCTCCCTTTTGAAACATCTGTCCTCCTTTGGATCAGTGTGATGTCTGAACCGAACTCGATACTGCAGCTTCGGTTTCAGAGGACGTCCTTTGCCTGTGGGTCTTGGAACTGGCATCTCCCTGTGGTCAACAATGTCGTCGATGTCGACCTCTCCATCCATGGTTGGGGGCAACGTTGAGCGACGAGAGGGAAACTGATCAGTTTCTTCGAATGGTGCAAGCTTGGAGGCGTGAAAGACAGGGTAAGTGCGAAGATGACCAGGAATCCGGACAACATAAGATGGCCCATCCGGATCTTCCCCAAAGACATCCAGAACCTCCCATGGTCCAAAGTACTGCGGCATGAGCGTACGGGAGATCCCGTACTCTTGTCCCAGTTCTGAGGACCTAACCCAGATTCTTTCTCCTACCTGGAATGTAACCCAGATTCTTTCTCCTACCTGGACTGTAGATGGGCGGCGGTGTTTGTTCTCAGTCTTTATCATCGCCGCCTGTGCCTCGTGCATCTGTTCGACAGCCTGCTGCATCAGTTGCTCAAATTGATAAGCAAACTCTAAGGTTCCTGGTGCAGCAGCGGATTGGTTCTCAGGTAATAAGAAATCTAAGGGCAATCTAGGCTTGAAGGTTAGTAGCAGACTGTTCGGGCTCACTCCCGTAGCGTTGTGCACAGCGTTGTTGTACAAACTGGCGATGAGATCAAGTTACTCATCCCAGTCTACCTGATTCGGCTTGATGTAATGCCTGAGCAGGTGTTGTACACCACGGCTCAACTGTTCTTCCTGTCCATTCGCTTCTGGGTGATTGCCTGATGTCATTTGCAACTGCGTGCCCTGTTCTGCAGCTTTCCACAATTCACTAGTGAATCGCACATCCTGGTCACTAATGATAGACTTAGGCAGTCCGAAATCTCTGACCCAGTTCTCTTTGAACAACTTAATGACATACTCAGTCTTTGCTGTTTCCGACATTGCAACTAATCTAGCATACTTACTAAACCTATCCACAATGACAAAGATGTGTCGCATTCCACTCTTGTTGGTGACCAGCGTGTCCATGAAGTCCATGGACAGACTCTCACCAGGCCTTTCCGGATTCCGAAAGGGCTTGAGGAGCCCAAGAGGGGCCTGTGTACGGGGCTTGTCTCTCTTACAGACCTGACAAGTCTCTACGTATAGCTTGGCATCTCTCATCATCATGGGCCACCAGAACCGCTGCAGCAAATTAGCTGTTGTCTTTTTGTAGCCAAAATGGTCGGTGGCGTCATGACACTCTCCTAGAAATAAATTGCGCAAAGACTCTCTATTAGGCACACACAAACGTTTATTCCCAGCCTTCTCAAGGAACAACAAGCCGTTGACCAACTCAAACTCGACAGAAGTCACTTTGTTCTTCGCCTCGAGTCTGCGGATGATCTCATACATGAACGGATCCTCGCAATAGGCTCCCACCATAGAACGAGTGACATTGTCTGCAAGTCCAAACTCGGTAATCAGCGCACCAGAGAAATCAGGTCTACGCGACAATGCATCAGCAACCTTGTCGTACTCAGCCTTGATATACTGGGCTCAAAGTCATACTGCTCTATGACTTCAATCCAACGCTTCAGAGCGTCAGAGAGCACAGGCTGGTTTCTCATACACTTCAGGGACTGGTGATCAGTCCTGACGTAGAAGAACCTCCCAAGGAGATAGTGCCTCCGCGCTTTATAGATCGCGTAGAGCTCCTTCTCATAGGTGGACTTAGCCAACTTCTGAGAGGGGATCTTTTTGGACATGTACTCAACAGGCCTCAACTGTGGCCCTCCTGCTGCACGAGCACGATGCCTATGCCATATTGGCTAGCGTCCGTGGTAACTATAAACGGCTTGTCAGGATCGGGAAGTTTCAAGACCCTCATGATGCGTCAACGCATGCTTCAGTTGTCTGAAAGCGGCCCCGCACTTGTCTGTCCACTCCCATGAGGTGTCAAGGCGGGTCAGGTCCGTCAAAGGGGCGGCAACTATGCTATCGTTCTTCACAAAATTGCGATTGTAGCGCGTCATCCCTACGAAGGACCTCATCTCAGTCACAGACTAAGGATGCGGCCAGTCACGAATGCTGGCCACCTTCGCGTCATCGGGCTTCAATCCCTCCGCGGAAATCTCATGACCCAAGTACAAGACACGGGTGCGGCCAAACTTGCACTTCTCACCGTTGATCTTGAACTTGTGCTGTCGAAGAAGGCTAAGGAGTTTGTCCAAGTGCGCAATGTGCTCCTCAACAGTCCTACTAAAAATAAGTATGTCGTCGAGGTACACAATGTTAAACTTATCCAAGTAATCATGAAATATCCGATTCATAGTGTGTTGAAAGGTGCCAGAAACATTGCAAAGGCCAAAAGGCATCACCACAAACTCGTATAGACTGTACCTGGTCTGAAATACGGTTTTGTGTTGATCCTCGACCGGATTGCAATCTGATGGTACCCGGACTTCAGATCTATCTTACTAAAGTACCGGCACCCTTGCACTCTATCTAGCAAGTCGTCGATGCGCGGTAGGGCTCTCTGTTCTTGGCAGTGATGGCATTAAGGCCCCTATAGTCAATGCACATCCTCAGTGTTCCCCCTTTCTTCGGTACGAATAGGACTGGAGATCCATAAGGAGAAACACTCGGCCGGATCCACCCCTTCTCTATGAGTTCCTTGAGTTGTCGGCAAAGTTCATCAAACTCGCCTGGAGACATCCGATAGATCCTACCCTTTGGGATGCTAGACCCTAGGATAATCTCTATCGCTTGGACGACCTCCGTCTCAACAACCCCCGTTGGCTCTTCAAATAGATCAAGGTACTTAGCAACTACTCTCTCTATCTCCGACGGCATTTTCACCGGCTCGCCTGCTGCAGAGACATAAACTAAATACATACCCTCCTCCGGATTTTGCTTATAATAATATAGAACGCGGCCACACACATGCATCCGTGGGACTCGATCAGACTACTAGCTTTAAACTTACGTAATCTAACAGTCCCCTCACCTGGCAAAGTGTGTTTGACCACTTTTCGGTCCTAGTCAAACTGGGGCTGTGCTACGGAGAGGTAGTACATACCTAACAAGATATCCATAGGGAGATCATCGCTCACTAGGAATGAGACACGATGTCTCAATTCCCTTCCAACATACGGGATACAAAACTCAACATCCTGGAGGTAGTCGTTGACTACCATGCGCTGTTTGTTGGCACATGTCGACTCCACAGGTCGACTCAGGCGCTGCACTCGCCCCTGTAAATGCAGCCTCTCAACGCACGCGCAACTAATGAAGTTCCTAGTCGAGCAAGTGTCATAATAGGTCCGTCCTTACGACCGCCTATGACTACCTCACCGACAAACATCTCTCCCTTAGAGGCTTTGACCGATGCCGTCCAAGAAGCTAGTGGGTCTGATCTAGGTCACTCCTCCTCTAGCTCCTCTAAGGATTCAAACACATTCATCGAACAAAGGCTCGATGGGTCATAATGTGTTTGTGGGACGACGATGGAGTCAGTAGCTTGGGCCATCTCTCGAGATGGTGAGGGTGTGTCCACCACCTCGACCCTAGCAGGAACAACTACTATTCCTAATGGTCCGGCGTGTTTCCCGGAACCGTGCCAGAACTGCTGGCCACATTGCTTCCAACGAGAGTGGAGGATCCCAACGCATGCCCCATCGTAGGTGGGATCTTCTCGATCACCTTCTTGTTGCGGCACCTGAATTGGTTATGGCCATATTGACCACAACGAATACAAATCTGCCTGGTGTACCCGTCTTTCCACACGTCCTCACCGAGCCTCGCTTTCTTGCATGGAGGAGCATTGGGGTCAACTTGACTCCTAAACCGGGAACCTCCACGGCGTCTACCGGTCGCCTTACCTTTCTGTGCTACGGCATCGACTACTCCACCCCCGAAAGCTTCTATGCTGCCGGTCTCTGAACCAACTCCCGACTGGAAGTCGTTATCCAATTCGATGGTGGAACCATCATTGTCGACGAACATGATGCGTCCCTTCGCTTTCCAATCGGGAGGCAGTGCCGTTTTCCTGCCATCCGTCGTGGGTGTCTGACCATGCCCTATCTTTGCCTGAAGGTCCAGGGCCTTCCTGCTAAATGAGGGAAAGTTGTGCATATTGATGTTCGCCTCACCTGCCAAATGATTCCTGAGAGGCATAGGAAACCATCTAAGGTAGGAGGTGAGTAAAACCTGGGGGTCATAGCGAACCCCAGGGACACAGATCAGACGCTCTACAGCGTCAGTGGCTTCTCACATGGATTTAAACTGCCTCGTGTGCAGTGTCAGGATCGCATCAGTAGCCTTTTGGGCCTCCTGCGGATCATGCGACCTGTCTTCCACCAACTTGAGGAAGTCATCCAATTTTTGGGTGACCGCCCAAGCGCGAAAGTCATGACCGTAACCCTGGAGCTGCACTAAACCACTCAGCCATCGCGTTGCACTCCCCTCTAAATAGGAGGCAGCCACAAGCATTTCCTCGTGCGGCAAGGTAAGTTTGCACTTGACATAGACCGGCACTGCCCTCAACCAAGTATCGAGGTTTTCGCCCCTCTTATCCCCTGTGAAGGGTTTAGGAGCGGCGATAGCCATCTTTGGTACCCACTGACTTTGTCCCGGTCCCTGCATCACTCCGGGATGTGGACCCTGTGGTGCAGGCTGCTGCACTGGCTGCTGGGGTTGTGTACCCTGCGGTTGTGCAGACTGCGAGACAGCAGGCTGCCCGCTCATGGCAACCTGCGACGGAGGTTGGGAAAACACTGTCTGTACAGGAATCTGTACAGTAGGACCTGCTGAGAACCCACCTGTTAAAGTCATACCTAGGGAAACGGGTTAGACCGATGTTGGAACTGTATATGGGGATACCCTAGTCACCGGTGGGACAAAAGGAGGAGGATGTACAACGGGCCGGACACCAGGCCTGGACGGTGATGGCGCCGACTGCACTCGCCCTACTAACACAGCCAGACTCTGCTCGATGTCCTGTAAGATCGTCATCTGGTGATCTTGCATCTCTACTACCCCTAGCAAGACCTACCTTATGGTCCTCGCATCATCTTCTAGCTCTGCTGGGTCCATCTCCTCTAACTCACTAATGTCCGCTTACCTCCGTTGCATCATGACTCTTCTTCTAATCATTCTCCTCTTCTCTGCCTTAATCTCACCTAAAGCCTATTGTAGTTGTGCCTCGCGATCAGCAGCTCGCTGTATGGTGACCTCCTCGGGAGTCATCACTAATGGTTGGCTTGCCATAACGCCAGTGGACTGACTCTGGGTTTGTGCAACCGTTGACCCTACAGACCCTGAACTGCCAGCCTGGGAACTCTGCTGCGCAGCAGTTGCCATGGCTGCTGAAACAGCGGCTTCGCTTGCGAATGCTCTGCTTGCCTCTGCTGCCCTAGCTCTCCTCTGCTGCTGCTGCCCCTCCCTAAGTTGGCGGAACAGTAACCTCTCACCCTCTGGACCTAAGGCCAAGTGGGTTACCGGGCGTCTAGCTGATCGCAAGATCCTGTCGTCCAGTTGTGGGACCTCCCTGTCACTCATAGGCTACAACACTGTACAGTGCCCGCACTAGGATACTCTTTATGCCTACCGCAGCATGATGTATTGACCAATTTATAATAAAATAAAATAAATAATCGGCAGCTATGTCAAAGACTATACATTCGGGTCCAACAAGTAAGTTCAAATTCCTACAGATGAAGCTACTTTGACTTTGACTAGTTCGCAAACAGAAAGCACAATGAACAAAAACTAGTTCTAGCTATGTTGCATGTCAGATGTTAATGGTTGTACAACTAACTAATCCAAATAAAATAGAATCATCTGTTGGGTCTGTTTGCAGAGTGGAATCTTTCCCAAACTTATCACCAGGAATCTACTGCTCCCTCAATTCTTCTTGAATGTCTTTTGTCGACAGCGTCCCTGAGCGATCCGGATAGCGTGCGTGTCTGAAGGTGTGCACACGACCCACCCCTATGCCCCGAGTCCTGCTGAGCTGGCCAGCCTTGCACAATGTTTATCCTCGCGTGCAGCGAGCCTTACACCAACCGATTGGCTGATCAGGAGGCGTTTATATGGACGGCCCCCGAAGTCTTCAGGAATTTTTTAGCATCACAGATAGGACGACGATCACAGCCAATGGAAGGTACCCCGCCGGTGCTTATTTATAGACGTCCCGTCTCGTCTGTCGACTCTTTCCCATAGGGCTCGCCTTCCCCTCAGAACCCCTCTACAGCGCAGCGAGCAGACAAAGGACAAAGCAGCAAAGTATGCATGTTGTACTCCCGGTGGGTTGGCATGGTGACCGTGACCCAGCACCTCGTCCAAGGCCCTTCAGATAGCACCGCCTTCTCCTTCTAGATGCTCCACGTGAAGGTTGACGACTCTCAAGGTTGAGTGCACACGACTCCTCACATGAGAGGACTCTCAAGACATAACACACATCCTCACGGTAAGAAGTGTCAGAGAGGGTAGATAAGGTTAGGTGCAACGTACCTCGAAATAGCTTCCCCCAACCACGGATATTCTCATCAGATGACCCGATGTTGATTGTGATGACCAATCGCTGCTTTGGCACAACCAGCATTGCACAGTCGTTCCATCTCAGCACCAATCACACATCGGATAGTTCTCATCACACTGCGAACACCCAATATCACGCCACATAACCTTCCTGGCGATCCCCTCTCCACCTGGGTCGCCAACTTATCTTCGCCCTCCTCACTACACACGTCCCACGACACGGTCACTCACCGCACACACCGCGTGCATATACCGCATTAGGCGGAAGATAAGCGCCATATTAGCGCAATGAACCACAACTTTGATACCAAATTGCAAGGAAGATGACCGATAGCGAACTTCAGAAATCAAACAGCATCATACACACGAGACCAGATAGTCGTGACCTCGAACCAAAAGCATAATTGCATCACGAGTTTCACCAAAAAAAAACACAGCAGAAGTTCATAACTGACAATGCTGGAATGCTTTCATCATCATCAACGAGGAACCAATGTCGATATCCTATCTGGCGCTCGACGCCCAGACTACGAATGGCCGATCCTATCTAGCCTAGACTACAATGCCGCTGATGACGTCAACAAATCCCTGAAGGACGAGCAGATCTCGGACAATGTCGCACGCTTCAAGCACCAGGTATGTCTTCCGTATCACTCACAACCCCGTTCCCCAACTCACAGATGCCACATGCACCCAAGGACCACCATGCGCCCCATCCACCATACAACATCGCAGCCCGGGTATGGCTGCCTGATCCCTCCAGCTCGCCCGTGAGCGCGTGAGCATGGCAGGCGATAACGCAGCACCGCTTGCGCACATAGCAGCCAGTGCCTGAATACCCAATGCGGAGGCAGGCCCTCCCTATATCGAAGTGGCCTGCTGCTGCGTGCAGTCGTGAGGTACTGGGCCCTGGCCCAGAAGCTTCCGGTAGGCCCCACGAGGTTGAGCCTTCATCCGAGGAAAACAAGCCCAGGGCCTGTGGTGGTTACTAGTGCCCAACCGCCCGCAGCCTGAGTTGGGTCCATGCTGCGAATCTCGCCCAGGGTCTAACTCAGATACATTTGTTAAAGAGGTCTAGGGCCTGGGCACATCCAACCAACTGGCGCTGCGCAACTGCCTGAATTTTCCCCAGTTGCGAAGTAGTCCAAAGTAGGCCTCTTGGGGTCGGTCGAGCCTGCCTTCACTTAGGGCGGCCGACGCTGTTGCAAATAGGGGCCCAGTAGGGCTTATTAAGGCCTTGTGCCTCGCACCGGAGTCGGTGCGAATACCTTTACAAGGGTATCCGCCCTGGTTTTTGCAAGTGGCAGAAGATAAATTTAAAAGTTTGAGTACACTGCGCGAGTCACGGTAGTCTTCATTGTTTATGCGGTTGATGCTTGACTAGAATAACGAGTGTGGGCGCGCGGATTCGAGGCGCGTGTGATCTTTTTAATTGTTGATGATTGAAGAGTCGGCGTGATTGCCGGCCATTTTTTTATTTTTTAAGTTAGGATTAAAAAGATTACGTCTCGTTGGTTGATGCACTTGTCTATGACCTACGCGTACGTCCGGAGAACGACATCGGCAGCAAGGAGGCTTGAAGTGTTTTTCATTAGGCCTGCATGTTAGGCGGAGTTCGTTTAGTTAGGCGTTCGTCAGAGCCAAACCAAAATTTAGGCCTAGCACTGGAGGTTGCGGCGACGGCGCGGGGATCAGAGTGGCGCAGATGGAGCGAGGGGTCGAGGGTCCGGTGGGCCTATCCCCTTTGGTTTTGCTGGCGACAGCGTCCGATCGGTGGTGGCATTTTCTAAATATCTCTTTTTAGCACCATATGGCTGTTTATTTTTTTTATGCTACGGCGTGCTGTTGACTGGGACGCAACGCCGGATTTTATGGCCACCACGACGTGGTAATGCTGGATGTATATGACATATGTTTCGGGTCCGATGAGGCTGCGCACGGGTGGCTGCATTCGCCGGGAACCCCGTAACAACAACGCTCGGGCCCAAGCCTCCGGTAAGGGAACACGCGGGAGCCGTACCAACCAGCAGGTGTGATGCCTATTACGGCAGGTGGGCGGTACCAGCCAAGGGTCAGCCGGCAACACCATGGTCGGGCCTCTCCGATGGGCCAGTCACTGTGCCTCTCCCCAGTCCCCTCCTCCTATGAGCATTTCGGTGGTCCCTGCTCGGTACTACTCGGCAGGGACCGACGACATACTCCTAGAAGGTGGGCCAGAGGGATTAGCGGGCGCGGCGCTAGCAGCAGCGAGCAGCGCTAAGGGCAAGAAAAAGGGAGGTCGTGGGCAGTAAGACCATGAGTGGGAGCGACAGACAGTAGAGCTGGCAGGGCGGTGTCGTGCAGCAGCGAGGCGGAGTAAGCGACCGGGGCTAGGTTGGTGAACGGGAGAGTTGAGCACCTGGCAGTGGGCCGACAGGACGCATACTGGTGAAAACAAAGGAATGAACCCGGCGAGCTTGTGCACCAGGTGCACTCCAGGAAGGAGGGTCGCTCGAGAGACAGTGGAGGAGCCAAGTGGACGATGTCGGAGCGCCGTGAGGGCGGCTACTAGCAAAGTGTTGCAGAGGGAGACGAGCAGCAAGGCTTCTGGTAGGGAATGAACCCGGATGGATCCCTGCATCGGGTACATGCGCACAGCAGCGCAACGCTAAGGAGCGAGGAGTCGCAGTAAGGAGGCAGGCAGTGGAGTTTGAGACTACCTGTTACCCGGTATGCCACTCGCCTCGAAGGATATATCTGACGGAGCTCATACGCCGGCCGAACTATTTGAAAGGCCGTGGTTATCGTGCCACCGAGATGTGCATGAACCTGGTCATATGATTGACCAGGTACCTCCGTGAGTATGGGTGAAAATGAGGAGAGAAAGAGATTCGCCTGCTACTGCAGTCCTAATCAGGCCTTGGTAGTAGTGGCAGTGGCCAGCGAATTCGTCCCCGTTTCTTCTTGCGTGACGAGCAGCCGTCGCAGTAGTCCAGAGCTGTGGTAATTGGCTGGTAAAAGAGGGTGTAGGTAGCAGGCGGGAGGGACTGGCAGGCGGCAAGCATAAGAGGCTGTGAAACTTGTCTGATCTTGAGGAGGAGAGCAAGGGGAAGAGGCTCGTTCCGAAGTTTTTTGGGGATGGCGAGCTCGATGGTGTTGTTCATTTGGTCTCCTAAGTAGCGGGTAGGACATTACGACGATTAAGTACTGCATAGCGGCCGCGGCGGACATGGAAACGGTGAAGGTAGCGAAGCAAGGAACGAGAACCTGGCTCGGTACCTATAGTTTCTCCTTTAACAAGAGAGGAACGAAGGGCGAGATTGAGGGATGAGATTGATGATGTGGGCACACGTACCTGGCCGTGGTGGCATTCTACAAGGTCGACACCCACATGCGCCTCGAATAGTGCTGCAGACAAGGGAGTGTGTTGCCATTTTGAAAGCTGGTATGTAGCTGCATGTGTGGCGGTAG